CCCGCCCCCCCCCGGGAGCTCCCAGGCCAGGCCAGTGACTGCCCCAGGCCGGGGAATGTGACAGTGGGGGCTGCAGGGTGGGGACTCAGTGGGAGGTAAGAGCCAGGGGAGAGGCGACTGCTTGTGTGTGTGGGGTGGCAGGTGCTTCCCTGGGGCTCAGTGCAGTGGCTCACGGGTGAGTGGCCGCTGTCCCTCATCCCGCAGAGTCCTGGGAGCCCCAAAGAGGTTCTGAGCCCTCAAAGGGGGAGGAGCTAGAGGAATGCAGGGAGGGCAGGGTAGCTCTGCTCCGGAGGCCATGTCCCTGTCCTCACCTGGGGCAGCGGGCAGGGGCAGTTCAGGAGAGCTATATCCTGGGACTGTATAGGGAGGAACTGAGTCCCAGAGGGATACGCAGTGTATCCGAGCTCTTTACAGATTAGAGGGGATCCTGGTCCCAGAGGAGGTGAGAGTGTGACAAGTCATTCTTGCACAGTACATGCGTCGTTACCGAAGAGGAACCTGGGGGCTTTGGGACCCCGGAGAAGGGGCAGCCACTCGTCCCCAAAGATGTGGGGAATCTTTCTGGGGCACAGGTTCTTGAACGCTGCTGCACATCGGAGCCGCCAGGAAGTTTTCACAGATCCAGTGTCCAGGACGCACCTCACGGCTATGAAATTAGACTCTCTGGGGTGCTACTCCGACATCCACGTCTTTAAAGCATGAAGTGCGCATGAGTCATCGCAGAAGGGCTTGTCAGGGTGTTTATTCCGAATCCCAGCTCTGAGGGGCCCCTGCGGTTCTGCATTTACCGAGCTCCCGAGCTGCCGCTGCTGACGGCAAACCCCGCTTTGAGCAGCAAGAGGCTAGAGCAGGCCTGGCACGCCTCGGCCCGTGGGCCGTCTGGCCGGCTGCCCATCTTTGAACAGTGCATGAGTTTTTTAAGTGGTTGAAAATTTTAAAAGAAGAATAATGCTTTGCTCAAACTTTAATGTCCACCAATAGTCTTTTTTTTAGCTGCCAGAGGGTATATGTGCTTGCCAGAGAGAGAGAGAGGGAGAGAGAGAGAGAGAGAGAAAGAGGAGCCCCCATGGGTGCACAGTCATGCCGAGTCCTTTCCCTCCATTTGTCAATCCCGTCAGGACTTTGGGCATGCGCACACATGCACCTGGCATGGTTTTCAAGCTGCTGGGGTTGGGATTCGAACTGGAACGGCCATGTGGACTCTGACTCCCAACGCACAGCATCTAGCTGGCCCCACCTGTAAAGTTCACTGGATTAGAACTGTGCCCATTTCTCTGGATTGTTGGGGGTGGCTCTGGGAGCTTCAAGGACAGGGCTGAACAGCTGTGACAGCTCTGTGACCATGTGGCCCTCGGAGCCTAAATTCTTTGCTCTCTGGCCCTTTGCAGAAAGGCTTGGCCAATTTTGGGCCACAGAAAACGATAAATAAGGTGGGCTGTGAAGGGAAATGAGCAGCTCTCCTGGGAGAGGAACTGCAAAGAACCTTAGCGTACCAGGGGCAGTGCGAGAAGGCCAGGTGTGTGGGGCCATTGCTGTGGGCAGACCTGCTCTGAGCCCTCAGGGTGGTGCAGTGAAGAGACCTCAGTGTTCCTCTCACAGTGTCCAAGGCTCGCAGTTCCCGTCGTTCTTTGCTGCCCTACCCCCAGCTCCTGGGTCCTCTGCAGGCCGGGTTCCTGCTTTGGCCCCGGACCTTCCCTCTTCACCCGGCCTATTGTTCATGCCTTGTCAGACCAACCTCTTCTAGGGACCAGGACCTCACACGTGCGTCTCCCAGGGGACAAATCCCAGGGGCTTAAGTAACGGGCTTGGGTCTCTGGAGGGAGAGAGGGAGAGGGGGAAAGCAGGAAAGCTGTTTCTTGGGGTTGGAGAACGCCCAGGTTCAAAGGCTCTTAAGGCTTCATGGAGAAAACCACCTCTGGCACAGATGGATGGCAAGGTTCTGGGTCACCCAGGCTGAGTGAGGGGCTTTCGGCAAAGGCCTGAGGATCTCGGCTCCCCTGAGGGCCCACCCGGCGCTCTGCTCCTGAAGTTGGGCATACACCAATGAATGATGTCTTTCTTACAAACAGAATTGTATGTGCGGGGGGCCAGCAGTTAGTGTAACGGCTATGTCACTGGACTCCCATGAAGTCGACCATGGTTCAAGTCCTGGACCCAGTGGCTTAAACTCACGCCAGGCGCGTGTGTGTGCATGCTCAAGATCCTGAGAGGAGAATGGAGGAGAAGGGATTGTGGTGTGGCCATTCCCCCTGGGGGGTGATTTCTTACTTTCTGTCTCTCTGTCTCTCTCTTTCTGGCGAGCGCACATGCCCTATAGAAAAAAATAATAAAAAAATAAAGAATTGCGTGTGCAAAATGGGTGTGTGTGCAAGACGAGTGTGTGTGGAACCAGACCGAGTGCTGACTTGAACAGAAGGACCCATGGCGGACACATCCACCAACAATTTCACCGTAGTCTCAAACAACTCTGCGTGATAAGCTCGTTGTCCCTAGTTTTGCAGATGGGGAAACTGAGGCCCGGAGGGAGAGGCGACAGGCCGGCGACTGCGCTTGGCAGCTCAGCTGGAGCTGGACTGTGCTCATCACCTGGCCGCCACCCACTCAGGGCCCGGCAGGACCCGCGAAGGTCTGCCCGAGCTTTCTGCTAAGGGGAAGCAGTGTGCTCTCATCCAGTCCCTCTGGAAACTGTCACTTCCCCAGCTGCGTGCTGGCTTGGGTGGCGTTTCTGAGGCCAAAAGAACGCGCACACGGCCAGCAGCTTTGGGCCGTGCGGAGTGGGTCCCTGTGGCAATCTGTCTGGAGCTTAGAGCTTCCCATCCAGGGTCTGCAGATGCCATACACCCCAAAGAAACTAGGGGGAAATCTGAAAACCGGAAGACCTGCAGTTATCTCAGCACTCCCTGATATAGCTGGGCGGGAGGCAGAGGGCCCTCAGCAATGCCCTCCTGGTGACGACGGTATCCATTGCCCATGGGGGCTTCAGCCGGAGGACAGGCATGTGGGGAACGGAGGACAGGCATGTGGGGAACGCTTGTGAGGCAGGGGCCTGGCTAGAAAGGGGCTGCTCCTCCTGGGAGCCCCCACTGAGAGCCTGATGAGATACCTCCTCATCTCCCAGGGAGATGAGGGCGGGGTGGGAAGAGCTGGGAGCGCCCACCCAGCGGAGAGCGCGTTTACCGCAGGCTGGAGAGGGGCTTCCCGACGCCTGTGATCAGAGGAGGATGCCCCCTCCCAAGCGCTTGTCTCAGTCCAGCACCCAGGATGTAGCCATGGGGATGAGGGTTTCCAAAGGTGGAATTGAAACCCTCTGGGACTTCTCTGCCAGAGGGGCTTTGTTCCGAGGCTCTCGCGGTCACCCCGCAGACTCTGCACTGGGGCTGCCGGATCACGATTCCACTTCACCCTCCAGACAGCTGGCAGAGAGTTGTGGTGGCTCGGCCTCCAGTGAGACCGGGTGACACCTGCGGCCCCAGGGTCACAGAGCCTGCGTCTCGTGGGGAGGAGACAGGTGTGAGGCTCCTCCCAGGCCTCCCCAGGGAGCGAGGCCCTCGGCCACCATGGCTGACCCTTACTCTGGCTGAGCCTCCGGGGTGCTTCATCTGCAGGGAGACAGGAGGCCGCCTCAGAGAGGCGCCTGCCGGC